CCTGTGAGAAGGATGCTGCGTCAAAGACTTATGCTTCGGGGTATCCAACAGGATAAATAAGTATCCCATTGAGAGGCACACTGTAAACATTCAGGACCCAGTTTCCAGAGAGTGCAGCTCTCTGAAGACAGAAAATTCTGTTATCTTGAGATTTTTTGCCTTAATCTTAGAAATATAAGCAGAGATTATTCTAAGTTGCTTTCCAAATCTGATTCTTCATCCAGATCGACAACATATTTATCTCCTTCTCCCTCCCCTTTTATCCTTCGTATCCCATGAATGAGGATCACGTGAATCTCACTGTAAGCAGGGACTGGAGATGCATGTGCATTGCAGTTTTCATGGAATGCTTTGCTCTGACCACTTGTTACTCTTGTCAGCTCCACTTGTTGATACTTAGAAAATGAAACAGGCTTTGGTGTTCCCCAAAGAGTGCACTCAATGAAGAAGAAACTCACATAGTGTATAATTTAGAATGTTGAGCATATTTGCACTGAGAGTTTCAGCTTGTACTAGGGCTCAATTCAGTGAACAGGAAGCCCTCATCTCAAGTAGAGGAGTCATACACCCTTTATTCAGACTAGAGGGCGGAGACAGCGTTGGGTTCTTGCCTAAGGACATGGTCAGATGATGGGGTGTTTTCAGTGGCATCTTTCTGAGAATTCTGGTGGCCAATCCAGACTCAATACAAATCATATTTTCCATGCTATCATGGTAATGTTTGCGAGCTTAGTGCTCAGCACTGTGTCCTCTGTGCCTGGGACATCATGGTAGCAGAGTTTCATGTCTATCACTTTTCCAGTCTTGACCCTGAGCACTCAGAGCTCATCGACCCTCTTGCCACCTAGAGATGAGTCTGTCCTTCTACAATCTACTTCTCTCTGCTTCGTGGTCTGCCACTTGGTGATTTTTTTTTTCCTCAAGAATTTAGTCATAGATGATCTTCACAGTACACATCATATTAGACCATATGTGTGCATTGAAATGAAGAGGAAAATGGGATTGTACAAGTCACTTACTTTATAGAAACTCCTGTTATAATGAAATAAAAAGAGCAAATCTCCATGATTTAAGATCGTCAGTTTAAATGAAACTGTCCTTTCCTATGGGGTGAATTTTAAGATTAGAGGCGTAAGAAGGTTTACTGAATTATAAATGCCCCAAATAATAGCACCTGAATTACTGCTACAAACTTCTCAGAACTGAGAAATATGGTCAAGGTCAGCTGTGTCTCTCACTCTAGGTCTCCAGGACCCAGGAGTTTGTTTTCTCACTGAAGCTATGAATATGGTATGGAGAATGTAGCCCATGATCACGGTCTGAAAACGCAAGTGTCTTGACTTTGCAGATGTCCTTGGGAGCGTAGTATGCAGTCCCATGGCTCAGTATGCTTTGTGGGCATGGCTTCCGGAACATCCCTGGTGCTCCTCTATAAAGTGGTGTGGCCTGTGAACAGGGAGCTGTGTTGGGGAAGAGGGGACAGTCCCTCCTGCTGTGGGGATCTTTGTTCAGCCAGCACATTTGCAGTCAGCACTCAGCTTGTGTCCATCTCTTAGATCACAGGAAGGTGGGCTGGGGTATGTTGTACTTGCTGTTTGTTCCTTTTTTCTATTAGGCTATTTCCACCTCTGCACAACACACACTGTATCACTAACATGCCTCACTTCCATACATCTGATGTCTAAAGGTTCATTTCTACATCTTTTTGAGCAGGAATTAATCTACATCTCCATGATTATAAACGTTTTTCGTATCTAGTTAACTTGCTTCCACGATAATGTCTACCCTGTGGCTTTTGGGCTTGTCACTTGAAATGGTTTCATTGTGTCCCCACCCAAATCTCACCTGAAATTGTAATAATCCCCATGTGTCAAAGGCACGGCCAGGTAAAGAAAATGGAATCGTACGAACAGTTTTCCCCATACTTTTCTCATGGTAGTAAATAAGTCTCACAAGATTTGATGGTTTTATAAATGGGAGTTCCCCTGCACAAGTTCTCCTGTCTGCCACTATGTAGGATGTGACTTTCCTCCTCATTCGCTTTCTGCCATGATTGTGAGGCCTCCCCGACCATGTGAAACTGTGAGCCAATTAAACCTCTTTCCTTTATAAATTACCCAGACTTAGGTATGTCTTTATTAGCATTGTGAGAACAGATTAATATACCAATGGACAATATAGATCTATAACGTGAGTGTCAAGAGAATGTGTGGTCCCATTAATTCGTGATGGAATCTGCATGATGAAGAAAACCGAATTATCACAGTGTTTTCTCAAAGGCTTAAGGCATCGTATTCTTTCAAAACTTGGAAAAAAAGCAATCTGTACTATGAAAACAGGCTTAATGCAGAAATGTATATGTTCCCCACCATTGGTGCTTCTCAATCTTCTCTTCTAATGTCTGGAAGTCATGTCTTCTAAAATGTCTTTATACTGAGATCCTACAAAGACACTGCCAGAAAGTGCCTGCAAACAGGGCCTTCTAACATATGTGAGAAAGGCATCTCTCCTTGGAAAAGTGGTTACGAACACAGGAATTGATAACTGGATAGTGTTGTGATTGGAAGAAGAAAATGGATGAGTGTCCCTGGAGCGTGACGGTGTCCTTCTGAAGCAGGTGCCCTGTGTAGGAATGGGGTATAATAAGGCAAGCTACTTTGCCATAGTCTCCCCACATCTCCATTCATCCTCTGATCTGTGGCTTTATAGTGGTTTAAATCTGTCTTTGTTATTGTTGTTTTATTTTTTGGTACCTGAATATTACATTTTAAGAAATGCTTTCATCATAGTTTTAGTTTTACAGAAAGTAGTAAAGATAATGAGTTTCATATATCCTACAGCTTCTCGAAATGTGAACACCTTATACCACCATAGCATATTTATGAAAACTCAGAAATTGACAGTGGTACAAAACTATTAACTGAAATAGATTTTCTCATTATTCCAGTTTCCACTAATGCCATTTTTCTGGTCATGGATCTAATCGAAGATACCACATGACATTTACTGTCAGGCATATTACCGATTGATCGTTGTATAACATATTACTACACAGTTTAGACTTTCAAACCCAGCCCTACGTAGTACTTACAGTTTCTCTGGGTCAGATACCTGGCAGAGAGTTCAAGGGAAGGCTCACCTGGCAAAGGATCCCCTTCCAAGCTCCTAGAATTCTTGTAAGGATTCAATTTCTGTCCAGGTCAAGATGACTTCACTGGTGTGTTATTCAAAGCCTTTCAGCATTAATAACAATCAATAAAATCAGACGAGTAGAGAACCTTTCCCAACGCACTGTATGAAGCCAGTGTTCCCTGACACCACAGCTAGACAAAGACATTTCCAGAAAGGAAAATTACAGACCAATATGAAATAGGTAAAAAGTATCAAGGAAGTACTATCAAAATTAACTAGTAACATATAAAAAGGATTATACACTAAAAGCAAAATGATTTATCCTTGCAATGTAAGTTGGGTTAAACATAGAAAAACAACTGGTGTTATAAACTATAGTAATAGAATTTTTTTAAAAAGACTCATGGTCACCTCTAAAGATGCAGAATAAGTATTTGACAAATTCCAAACCCATTCATGATAAAAGCTCTGGGAAAGTTAGGCATAGAAGAAAACTTGATAAACCTACAAACAGCATCCACGGAAAACTCACATAACGAAGGAAAGGCATACAAGCCAATAGAATAGAGTTGAGCACACCAAAATCAATCTTTATATATAGGCCAAACTTATTTTCAAGGTTGAAAAATTGAGTGAAGGTTGAAAAATTGATTCAAGATGAAAAAATAGTTTCTCAACAAATGTTGCTGGGAGAAAGGGATATCCACATGGAAGTTTAACTCTTTCCTGCACCATATATGTATTTGACTCAAAATAGAATATGTGGCTAGCTGTAACAACTAAAACTAAAAATCCCACAGAAGAGAACATGGGAATAGGTTTTCATGGCCTTATGTGAAACAATGGATTCTAACATGTGACACAAAAGTGCAAGTGACAGAAAAAAAAATAGATGCATTGAACTTCATGTGGATCAATACCTTTTAAGATGCAAACTGCACCATCAAGACAACTGAAATAATGGAAGAAGATATTCCCAAGTCATATAACTGTTAGGAGACTATTACCCAGAATATAAGAAACGTTCAGGTGTGTACCACCACACCCGGCTAATTTTTGTATTTTTAGTAGAGATGGGGTTTCATCATGTTAGTTAGGCTGGGCTCAAACTCCTGGCCTCAAGTGATCCACCCACCTCAGCTTCCCAAATTGCCGGGATTACAGGCATGAGCCACCGTGCCCAGCTTCATTCTTCTTATTATTTTCTAAATTTGTATTTCTAAATAATATATTGTTCAGGATTTTTGTCTTCAACACTAGATAAATATGTGTATAAATTAATGTTTAATTTTAGTCAAATTATGAAAAAATATAACAAATCCATATTGTGATACATCCTATGGAACACCTGACAAGTTCTTTTCACTAGGATCAAGGTCAAAAAAATAAGTGAAGACCCACAAACTGATACAGATTAGACAGGACCTGATGTGGCAGGTAGGTTCTAAGATGCTTCCCAAGGATCCACACCTCTAGATATGCAAAACTCTATGCTAATACCCTCACTGTGAGGTTAAGACATGCCATACCACACGTATAAACAAACACAAAAGGGGCAAAGTGTATGGAACAATGGTTTGTAAGAGAGACTATATCAAACAGGGAAGGACGGTGATACCTGAGACATACAATGCTGTGACATGAGCTCTACCATTGCCTCAAGATACTGCTTTGGGAGATTTTCCAGGCTGTGGTGTGGCATGGACTTTGGAAGACACTGTGAGTTGAGAAGATGGAACTGAGAGTCGAGTACAGATTGGCTGGATCGCATCTAGAATTTCTTCACATCCGGTGGTAAGAATGGGAGACGGCATGGCTGCTATTGTCATCATTACTCACTGAAATACGGTTCACAGAAGTACAGGAGCAATGCAGAAACAAAGGCAGAGACACAAAGAAAAGTTACTTGAATGAAGACTTAATATTGCACAAAGACTGACGCCTTTACATGTTGTACACAATCAAGGCTTAAAAAATAACCATTTGAGATAAAGTAAATGATGTGTCTAAGTCGAATGAACCAACCAAGTGGACACAAACCTTCCTTTACTATACAATTTTCATACATGTGCCTGATGAACTCACTATATTATAAAATAATGAAAGCAGAGCTTTCTATTTATAAGAGCAGAACACAATTGTCAGAAAAAGAAGGATTAAAAATATTTTTACCTCTATTTGTTTCCCTATGAAACCTTAAGTTTCCTTTAAATTTGGAAAATAATTTGTCACTTTCTTCACTACATAAATTCCACTGCCATTCGAGTTTGCATGGAGTATAGGGTTGCTATTTATATGCAGTGAAGTTAATGTAAATTAAGTTGCTATTTATATGCAGTGAAATTAATTTAAATTAAGTTGCTATTTATATGCAGTGAAATTAAGTTAAGTTAAATTGCCGGGCTGCAATATAATAGATGAGGGGTTGTTATTGTTGTTGTTACTTTAACCAAGATCTGTCACTGAAATTCTGTGTGTACAGTATTGAAGCCAAGAGACCCTGAAAGCCACCCTCACTGAAAAATCAAATGCCCATCTACTAATCTGGAGTACTTGTAAAACATCAGTTCATGCTCTCTTGGTTGCTCACATCTCATAAATCTTGGACAAATGTCCCCTATGTCCCCAGAATAATTT